AAGTATTTCAACAATAGTTCAAAATACTTATGGGGGTTTAATGATATATTTTTAATCCGAAGAAGAAAAGTATAAAATTTTTATTTTAAAAAAGTAATATTTACAAATCAGATATACATATTGTGAGATAAACAGAAAAGACAAATTTTGTTGCAAATACATTATAAATAATTATGTATATGAAAATCAGAGATAAAAGGGTAGCACCGAACATCAAATGAAGAAGACAGATATAATATCTTTATACTCAAAATGTATATTTACCAGTTATCACTGACAAAAGGGCGTTAACTTCACGGGTGCTCATTTCATTGACAGAGAGTTTTGTCACATGACGTTCTTACAAACATGATGCCGATATGCTGCACAGCGCGATGAATGTGAAGTGTTAAAAATGTATAATACACAGCTGTAGCATATTCAAAACAAAATGTACAATGTAATATATAGTCTAAGTTTTATTTATCATTAATAAATACTGGACGCTCGTAGCGATTGTGTAAATATCTTACACACTCCATTAATGTATTTCTTGTAAAATCTTTTCTATAAAATCGTAAATTTATAAATCGCTTATGAATATGAAAAATCGACGCAAAAAACAAATAACACCTTAATTTTCCGAGTGCAGTTTCTAAAATTCAAGTACTGTCACTAACAGCCAATCTTCAATTTGAAACACTTGTAAACACGGAATGAATTTATTATTAAAAATTATCACCAGGACATTTTAGCTGTCGGTGTTGCACATAAATGAGAGGAATTTCAGCGACAGTTTCAAGTGTTCAAAATTATTTAAAAATATACATTTTCCAGCAAATGTATAGCTACATTTATAGACTAAATTTGGTCGGAAAACTCGTCGACCATCCCCCCCTCCCCACAATAAATTGCGATTTATACGCCTATAAGGAGATGGAGAAAGAAAATATTTTTACATGTTATTTTCTTCTTCTTTTGTTTTTATTAAGTTTGAGAAATACATTGCTGTATGGAGTAAATATCTGACATTTAATTTGTATATATATTGTTTTGTTTTGTTTTGTTTTGTTTTTTTTTTGTTTTTCTAAGAAACGGAGAAATATTTTCTTGCAATTTCATGTATGTAAAATTGATTGATCTTTTGACAGAAGAAGAAAATATAAAATGCTTGAAATAAAAAGGCATAAGACAATGTTGAATTTCATATCCCAAGGGGAAATTTTCATGACTCACATGTTTGGTTATGTATCATACAACTGTGCTCGCCCTAGCGCAGCCGGACTGTCAAGATATTGCTTAATTTCCAATACAAAAGACAATTCGAATTCAAAATATTTCTGATGAATTTCAAATTGCAATATGCTTAGCGCTTCCCAGTACTTTCAGTACTTTGATTTTTATCTGTTTCTAGATGAGATAGACTTATTGCATGGTTGACTTGACATGTTTCCATGTGACACAGTAAAATGCTATGTATTTGATATCACTTGTCTATTTGACAGTTCACCAACCTACATATGAACTTTTATCTTCTTTATTTGATCACAATCAAAAGACATACATGTTTTGATCTTCTCATATTCACTTGGCTTGCAGTTATCTGAAGAGTCAAACATTTCAAGTACCTTCTTAAAGGTGCTTGGACACAGATTTGAAGTTAATATTTTCTCAAATTTTCTGTATAATTTCATGACTTATATATTGCTATAGCATTTCATACTAAAATATAATAAAAATCTTATTTCATCTCGAAGTTATTAAAACTTCGAATTTCTGGACGCGTTGGATTGACACATCCTTGCGCTTTCACGTATTTTAATTTTATTCTTAATACTTAAGAAAAGTGGCAATTTTGTTGTGTATTAATGAAAAATATTTAAACTATAACCCAGAAAGCAAAAAACCACTCACAGTATTATAAGTTCGTGCTCAGAGGTGTGTGCAGAGTTTCACAATTGAACACACCCGGTGAATCGTAAACATTAATAATAACAGAACTCGTGCCCTGTTTACATAAATAGTTTACGTTTCACGTGTGTGTTCAATTTGTTAAACTTTGTACACATCTCAGAGCACAGACGGACAATAATGGTGAGTTGGTTTTGCTTTCGACCATTTCTACTCTGAATTTTCTGGATTATAGATGTAATATTTTTCATTAATACATAACAAAATCGCTTCTTTTCTTAAATATTAAGGATAAAGTTAAAATTTGTGTAAGTGCAAAGATGTGTTAATCAAACGCGTCCCTTGAATTCGTAGTTCCAATGATTTCCAGATAAAATAAGTTTTTGATTATATTTTCGTGTGAAATGCTATTTCAATATATAAGTCGTGATATTATACAGAAAATTTGAGAAAATATTAAGTTCAAATCTGTGTCTAAGCACCTTTAAAAATGGCTTATCAAAAATACTCTGAGAATTGCACTGAAAGCTTAAGTTTTATCAACCATTTGTTCTGTGGAATCTAGGATAATTTTAAACACACCCCTCTACTTCTTTGCCAATGTTATCCACGAACAAATGACCCATGGGCCACATCGCTCACCTTTTCACTTTGGATAGAGAAAAGCAGAAATCAGTTCAGTATTAAAAAGTTTAAATATATAAGTGGTCTTAACCTATCCCCATGACCGGGAGGGGGGGGGGGCGCTGGTTTGAACAAACTTCAATCTATACTGAGAATGCTCCTATATTTCTTTGACTGATCATGGCCTTAAAAGATTTTCCCCTATATATTTATATTTAAACGATTGATATTCTACTGTGGTCCCGCCTTACTCCAGGGGGCGGGGCGGGGGGGGGGGGTATGATTTGATAGTACAGCACCTATGGATGCTTTTATACTAATATGACTATTTATGGTTTTGCTATTCTTTATAGAAATATTTTAAAAGATATTTCCTACATATTCCTATGTAAAACTATGATTCCCATTATGACTATACTCCATATCTCTTTCTCCCTGTCATCCATAGACTGATCGGTTTCTGTTTAGTTTTTACAAATTCTTTTTTTTTCTTTTTATAGTGCTCCTCTAGATCTCTTTTCTAATAAATGTAGATTTCAGGAAAATCAATGACTTGGTGAACTACTGAAGCTGAAGAAAAAAAATTGCCTTTTGCAAATTCTGGTTTCCAGTGCTTCACTTGGTGACACTTTTAAATCCAAACCAATCTTCCTGATAACTTATAAGTAGTACCTTTGGAAAAGTATCATGTACTTGATATTCTAGATCATTTTGAGTTACTACTCGCAGCAGGTCGATTTCCAAGTTTTCAGCTAAGAATTGAAATTGTTGTTTAACTAGTACTGTATCTTGATTTAATCTGGTCTTTAATTGGTACCATTTCTGACTGCATATCATTACGATGATTTTGCTCCACCATTTTTCTAGGGTTTGGTTGTGCTTGATTATCTAGATCCATGGGTAAACTGGTATTGAAACTGATCTGTTGTATGTTAGGTTCAAGCACTGCAAACAGGGCATCCCACAAAATGGCATCCATTGTTAGTATACACAAATGACACAGATGGCATAGCTGGAGTGCTGCTGCCCAGCGGACTGATATTGCATATAGGGATAAAGTGGCATCAGGTCTGTAGCTCGGTGATCTGATAAAAATTGCGATGTACGACCAGAGAGCTACATTGAAAAAAGTGTATATTTATTGCACAACTAAGGATATTGATGTTGAAACATTATCTGTGGACATTGTTGGAAAGCCAAGTAGCACACTAGTGTACAGAACACTTTGACAAGAGTGTGTCAAACGGTAAATTGACCTAGCTAGCAATAAAAGTCCTTAAATAAGGTGACCTATAGTAAAGATTTAACCAATTTAAATAATACATCATCAACTATACCATCAACTATACCAGATGGCTTGCTACAAGATGACTACTTGGTAGCTGACCCGAATCAGAACCTTAAGTTTGTTCTTCCCGAAAACATTAAAACCATTGATTTGGGTCTGTTCAAGGTCATTTTTTGCTTTTATCCTTATCCCTCGAAGGTGATTTTTCTCTTTCTTAAGTTTGAACTTTTCATTTGCAAAATTATCTTTCTAAAACAAAGCTTTTCCACAACAACAACATTTCTGTCAACTGCTTATGGTGACTCAGTTTCAGGGGTTCTCCTCATATCACTCGTAATTTTTCAATTTTCAAGACAAAAACAGATCAAAGTTATACCTCCAAGGGGTAAAAAATATTTCAGAAAAAATGCCTGTGATATAAGATTGGGAAAATTGCATTATATTTTTCACTGTTTTATATCAAGTCTTAAAAAAGTTTTCGAGAGTTTTACGGTCCGAATGTGAAGTTAAAATAATTATTAATTAATAGGATGAGAAAACTTCGGAATGATTTAAAAAAAAAAATAATTGTTTCCCAATTACGGCCAGAGGTTAATTTTTTTTTTTTTTTTTTTTTTTTTTTTTTTTTTTTTGAGTCGGGCCGTTTTTAGTCAGTCGGTCGGAAGAGGTCAAACATAATTTTTAAAGATGGCCATTTATACATGACTTTTCGAATCTTGGCATTTAAAGAGCGCCTCTTCTGCACGCCATACCTTAAGAACGGACCTTGATCTTTAAATAACCTGTGTGTTGACCTTTTGTGTCCCCGACTGTGTATACAGGTCAAGCTTCTATAAACATCTGGAAGTGCCCAATGTAAAGCAACTACATGTATAATAAAGTAAGTGGTTATATCATCTTCCGTTCATTCATGAATAAATTCAACATGCAATCATCTATTCTGTTCCAATTTCTATGTATCCTTATTCCATGTAAACAGATCAAAGCATATATACACATGCAAACATCATGAACAATTAGAACGTTTTTTTGTTTGTTTGTTTGTTTTTTTTTTAAATTACATACTTTATGATATTAAGTGTTAACTAGTTATCACAGAGGCTCGCTGAAAAATACGTTCACTTGCTGTGATAGATGGTAATATTCTTCGTGATAACTTTCTCGTTCGATAGTTCACATTTATCTCAGGCCTCTTTTCCAGTGGCAGTGACTTCTCCAGCCACGAGCAAACAATGACGAACCGTAAGTATTCTGTGTCCATTTAATGAGGTAAATCTTCCACTATAGCCGTTGGACGTCGGTCTGTTGTGCATGTCTGTGTAAATATACACATGCTTGTTTTATTTATATGCTTGACTTGTTGGATCACTTTCCGATTTTTGCTCGATATAAAATTAGATGTGCACGTCTTTGCTTTTAGATTCAAGATTTGCAGTTTATTCACCTTTTGTGTTTACAACATCATTAATAAATAAAAGGATGCGGAATAAACTAGGTCACATGTTATATACGCCCGTCTTTAGACGAGATGTATTATGTCCGTCCGTCCGTCTGTTAGCTTTTTCGTGTCCGGCTCATAACTTTAATACTATTAGGCCTAGGATTATCAAACTTTGTCAGCTGATACTTCTTGGGTAGAGGGTGTGTCGCACATTTAAAGTAGGTCGCTCTGACCTTTAATTAAGATGCTATGGCAAAATATGGAAAAATCCTGTCCGGCTCATAACTAGAAAACTATTGGACTTAAAATCATCAAACTTGGCCAATCTATGCATCTTAGGTAGAAGGTGTGTCGCGACCTATTTCAAGGTCACTGTGACCTTTAATTTAAGTGAAATTAAAAAAACTGTCTTTTTACTATTAGATTACACAATCCCAAAAAATGCAAGAGTGTTGCAGTATCCTTATTTAAAAAATGTTAAATCAAGAAAATACTTATTTTTTTCATTATATACTTTACAGCAATCTATAACAAATGTAATGTTAACAGAAAACAATTGTAATCTTAGTGTAGAAGAATTTTTTGAATATTTCAGAAACCTAGGAGTCTGTAAAGATGTTACATATACTGATTTTTGGAATACAGAATATGATATGAATGCTGTATTTGATGAACTAGATGTTAATATAACTGTTGAAGAGGTTGTAGATGTTATAAACTGTTTAAAAAGCAGAAAATCGCCAGGAAAAGATAATTTGATAAATGAGTATTTTAAATACATGTGTGAAGACCTAAGCCCACTTTTAACAAGAATATTTAATGTTATTTTGATACTGGTAATATTCCTCTCACATGGTGTGAAGGTGAAATAGTACCTATCCTTAAAAAGGCAGACCCAGATGTAACAGATAGCTATAGGGGCATTACCCTTATGAGTTGTATGTTAAAAATATTTACAACTATACTTAATAATAGACTGATGAAATGGTCCGAAAGTAATTCTATTTTAACTGATGCACAGTTTGGATTCAGACCAGGGGTTGGTACTATAGACGCAATTTTTGCACTGCAAAGTATAATTGATAAACATCTTTCGAATGGGAAAAAACTCTACTGTTGTTTTGTGGACTTCCGTAAGGCATTCGATAGTATTAATAGAAATTATCTTTTCAAAAAGCTCATAACATTAGGGATCAAGGGGAAAATGTTTAACAGTATATGGTCTCTGTATAAGAATGTTAGGAGTTGTGTGAAATATAAAAACAACTAGAGCAGAGCTCGTTGCAAAGCAACGAGTAGGTCTTCCGTTGGAGCTGCGAACAGGAAGAAGTGACCTTGAGTCAAGGTCATGCCACATTCTAAGGTTATAAGCAATCTTGTAAGGGGTATGAACTTGCAATGTCTCACCAGTAGAAAGACAGTTAAGGAATGTTATTTCTCCGTTGATGACCTTGAACTCGTTCAAATGACCTTGCATCAAACCATGACACACTCTGGTTATAAGAAAACCCCATCTATGTGTAACCGACTCGACAAGTTAACACATGTTCTTTCAGACCATTCATCCAGTCAAAACATTCTTTCCTTAGTGACCCTAAATTTAATCAACATGGCCGTAGGAACCGAGGGGGGCGTGCCCCCCAATAATTTTGCCCATATATAGATTACAATAGTAGACATAGATACTATAGCTTGTGCCACCTCAATAAAAACGTCTGATAACCTTCTTTTTTTTTTTTTGCTTTTCAAGGAATTTTTGGTAGTTGGTGACCTTTTTTTTTTTTTTGCTTGTCAGGAAATTTATGGTAGTAGTGCCCCCTCAACTGTCAACTGAAAATGTATGGCTGTGCCCCCTCCCCCCCCCCCCCAAAAAAAAAAAAAAAAAAAAAAAAACTGAATTTGCTTCCTATGGGCCTGATCAAGGCAATGATACACTCTGTATGATATCAGCGATACCCTTTTGTGTGTTTCGGACTTGACAAGTTCACAGTTTGCATTTATTGCATGATAGTGAGGGAGACATGAAGATTTCTTCGCCCATAAAAAATCATATTCCGCGAGGGCAACATGAAGATTTCTTCGCCCATGAAAAATCATACTCCCCGAAGGCAACGCCAGAGGGAAATATGATTTTTCATTTGCGAAGAAATCTTTATGCTCTATTATGCAATAAATTGTTTATAATACCGAATTAACCAAAATGCAGGAATTACAAAGGAGATCCAATGAATAAAGCAAACATGCATTTGATGAGAACGATATGAAAGAGAAGTAAGTTACAGGTACACCAATAGCCTCGTTTCATTAAAAAAAAATTCCTACGTGACAAGTTTGTGTGATCACACCAGTAACATTCAAACACCATTACATTTTTACACATTTAAATCGACACAATCAATCAACAATAATATGTTGACGGTGCGACCGTTGGGCGAGTGCATTGTTCACTTAATTTTCAAACAGCACGAGACATTTGGAACGTCTAGACTGTGACGTCTCATGACGTATGTTAGCTGTACTTCCATAAACGAATTTTGAAAAGTGCAAACATTTTAACAAAGAATGTTTAATCTACTATCTGTATGCAATTCCATTAATTAGGGTGATTTTTTGGGGTGAATTTTTAGTTGTTGTTACCGCGCGAACAAAGTTAGCAGCGTCGCTATAAACAATCTAACTCCTCACTCGTTTAATTGTGACGTCACAATCGTGAAACACGACGTTTTGTTGCAGGGCAAACATGATGGACACGTGACTTTCTCGGCCAATCAAATTCTATTTTACTAGTGATTTTTCACTTGTAAGCTAGTTTTCACAGAGGTATAATAAACGTTTTTTTAGACCATACATCGAAATAAATTATCATAATTTCTATAGTCGTAATTTATTAGGTTCAACTCACTGCTTTAAAGGATCATTGTAAATGTTTTATGCCCGATTTGGATACTGAACAACGTGTGATTTTTGAAACACTGATGCCCCCATATGGCATCTTATGGCAAAAGTTAAAGTTTCTCAAATGCAAGTCAAACTCCATGGTCAAGATCAAAAGATAAAAAAAATGTTATTACCCAAATAAAGGTCTTGAACAAAGAATATACTGTGAAATATATACTAGTATAGCAGCAACAGTTTAAAAGTTATTGCCAAGGTTAATTTCTTTAAAAGGTCAAACTCCAAGGTCAAGGGATCATAATTGTTTGTACTTGAGGGAAGGTCTTAATTGTTACAAGGAATACACATATGGTTTTAAAAAAGCCTTAGCACCAACTGTTCAAAAGTTAAAACCAAGGTTAAAGTTTTTCAAAAGTAGGACATACTCAAAGGTCAAGGTAAAATGGTCAAAATTAAAGGTATACAATGACAGGCCTTGTCACAAGAAAATTACCCATGTAATATAAAAGCCCTAGTACTAGTCATTCAAAAGTTATTGTCAAGGCTAAAGTTGTTTAAAAGTTGGTCAAACTCCAAGATCAAGGTGAAATGGTCAAACATATTTATACCCAAGGAGGAGACTTATCACAAGGGATACAGATGTGAAGTATAAAAGCCATAGCACCAACTGTTCAAAAGTTTTGGCCAAGGTTATAGTTTGGTAAAATTTTGCGAAAGAGGATCAAACTCCAAGTTCAAGGTCAAGAGGTCAAATATGTTGGTACCTGAAGGAAGTCCTTGTTACTAGGAATACACATAAGAAATATGAAAGCAGTAGTTCCAACCAATCAAATTTTATGGGCATAGTTTTTTGCGGACAAAGAGGCTAACACAGTCTAACAGACAAATAGACAGGTGGACAGGACAAAAATCGTTCCGGATCTTCGATTACAGTAGCATAAAAAAAAATGTCGGCGTCTTTGGGTTTTCGCATTGGCCTTAAATCTGAAAATCCAAAGGATTACAAGGTGCATTACGATACGCTTTCACATCATGTTCTATAACCCAGAGCATATTGTCTGCAAAGATAAATATTTAATTCAGTATTTAATTAGCTATGCATAATTATCTATGTTGTTTTAAAAAGAAAATATAAAAAAAATATTTGTTTTATATTTTTCGATGTAGAGATATGCAGAAAATGTTTTCCTATTTTAAGTCCTATCGCAATACATATTTAAAAGAAAGTGTGTGTTGGAGGGGGGGGGGGTCATTACATTTTTGCTGGGATTCGCCTATGTATGACCGTAGAGAAACAAAGAGTGGGGAGGGTGCAAGCAGCAACTAAATCAAAATTTACATATTAAAACTACAGCAAAAGACTATTTTCAGAAGGTCTGCCTCCCCTCCCCCCCCCCCCCCCCCGGTACAATCCGTACAACGGACCTGTGAAAAAAATACTGATCCTACATTCAGAGTCCCAGGGCACCAGGAAAGAGTGGCAAAAAGAGAATATCGGTTGATTTCAGTCTATAAGTCGAATCAAAATATCTTTTCCTCAAGAGTCTTCTTTCTTTGAGTTCATCCCAATGATCGTGTGATTTATTTCATCTATTTTACGTTCTGTACTGGACTTGGAAAATGAGGACATCTTTAGGTTCCTGAGCTGGCCTTGAAGCCCGCAGAACAGATTTTCTGCTTTATGATAAATTCAAGTGATATGTAATCCGGTATTAATTTTGTGTTGCTTTTTTTAATGTTAATTTCATCAAGAAATATGAAAAATTAATGTTTTAACTATACATAGTGAGGCATTTTTTGTGTGGAACGATTATCAAATGGGGTTTTCACGATTTTTTCATATGGTACACATGATGAGTAAGTGCAATAAATATAATTTGTGGAAAAAATGTCCAACAAGCCCCGG